CACTTGACTAGTATACCAGTATACTGACATTCCCAGCCCCAAAAGAACAGGAAAAAAAAAAAAGATTTACAGTCAAAGAAAGAAATAAATGAGCAAGCTTATCCTTTCCCCAAGACTCATCTATAAAGATTTAACTAATGAAATAACAATCCCAATCACAGTTATGTCTTATCATCTCCAAGTGCTAAGACACTTTCAGGGTTAGAGGTAGCATTAACAGACTGGATCCTACAGTCTAAAAGGGGCCAGGTAATCATTCACAAACATTGTTTCTTTCAGAACAGTTGACTAAAACTCCCTAAATCAAAAATAAAAACTCATTTGTAACATAAACCTTAAGCTATTCACTTTAGCTTTTAAAACTACTAATGTACCTTACTTATTATTTCTTTTTTGTTCTTTGTATAAATTGAATATAATGGCAACTATGTTTAAGCATAACACTTGTATCAAGTTGATATAGATCATTATTCTGAGTGAATTTAAAAACATACCTGTCAACAATTGAGCTCATTTTACTACAGCTTACGGTAAACAACATAACACATTACGTTTTCGTCTTGTGGTAGACATTTGTACTTCTCCTTGGGAGAAAGAAAGAAAGAAATGGTTATTAGTTTTTTAAAGCACTTCTACAAATTAGTCTTGAGAATGCTGCAGGTTACTGTGCAGATTTCAAAACGAAGCTGGTGCATTATTTTCAAGCAAATTATCTTTGGGTAGGGAATATTTGAGGGTTTTTTGTTCTAAAGGAATATGGAAAAATTCAAATTCATAATGTAGTTCTCTAAAGTAATAGAAAAGTCATTTTTAATACTCAGTATGTACCTTACATAACTATAAACTGACTACAATAATACTATCTAATAGATATTTGCTGAGATTTTATTTTCTGGTAAACAGCATGGTAGGCCTTGTATCTATAAGAATGAGAGGCTCAGCTCTACAGGCAAAAATCTGTAATGAGCAAGGAGACAGGTATCTAAACAATTATAATAAAATACACAATGAAGGCTACATTATTCAGTGGCATCATCCTGACAGGAAGCAATCAAGTGTGTCTGTGAGAATTACAGAGCGAAGCCTGGGGCACCGAGGCCTGTCATGGGTCAAGATTTGTACTGAAAACATGGTGCAGAGGCAGGAAGCATCCTCATCACCTCGGAACCCACATGTCCAGGAGAATCTCACTGCTAGGACTACTCAAGTCTGAGAAGCAGCAGACGAGAGAACACAGAGGCCAAGGCTGAGACAGCAGAGTGACAGTTTGTGAGCGCACAGGTATCAGGAGCTAGAACAACACTGGGTTTGAGAAAACCAAGAGCTTCTTTTCTTCACAGGCATGTTCCAGGCTAGTTTTACCTACTGCACCTAAAGGGGCTGAGGAAACTTGAGGGGAGGCAAGTCAAGCAGAGAAATAAGTATCATGAAGTGTTTCCTACTCTTTCTACATTTCAGTAATTAAAACTTAAAGTGCTTTGCTTTCAAACTGAGTCACAGACTAAAACTCCTTTAAAAAGCAGTTTTCTCTCAAGTCCTGAGTTAAATACTGATTAACAAATGACCTTATTTATAAACATCCTAAGTTCTGAGATATAAGAAAGTTTATATTGTTGTTTCCTTTAGAGTTTAGAAAGTAATATAAATTAACATGTAGTTCTATCTAACCCAGAGACATTTCAAGGTATTTGAACAGGAGAGTCACTGTTTTCATATGGACCTTCCTAAGAGGAGAGGCTAGCTCTTGAGAAATGACAACACACCGTCTATGTGGTTTGACTAACACAATGAGACTCAGAGGACTAAAAATTCTTACAAGATAATGACCACAGGTAAGGAAAAAAGAGGATCAATAGCACGACAGAACACTGTGACTCAAGTGTCTGGGTTAACATCAAAAGAGGTACCACACAGTTACAGACCACTCAAGTTTACTTAAGTCAACCTTCTAGATCAAAAGAAAGGGGAATGGTAATGACGAATGCTGGTTCTCTCACTAAAATAAAAAGGACAGTGGAAAAGGTATATAAAAAACTAAGGGACCAAATCTCTGCCTCACGTGTCATTTAGTAAGCCATCAGCATGCTTAACTGTCAGAAAGGAGAACACAGACCAACACGGTATGGGGATAAGCCTGCTACAGGGAAGGACACTGCTGACTGTGTACAATGGGAAGGAATCAATGGTTTACAAGACCACCCACTATTAAGCTATTCTTTATTACCATCAACAGTAATTGTCAAAACATTTGCTCAGCTTATGACTACACTCACAGTCACACACTTAAGATTACAATCGTTCACAGGATAGCTTACAATCTTTATTCTACTTTTCCAGCCAACTGATAGATACATTTCATTTACGAGAAAAATAAAGGGAGTAAAATGGGTAAACAGCAAACAGCAAACCTTTTTGAAGAGTGTCAAAGTAATAAAATAATGTAGTATTAAAGAACACACAAAACACCCAATAACCCAGGCTTTTAACAGCAAACTATAGTGAAACTTGCTCATCAGAAAGGTTCCATTTTAGACATGCCATTTCCCTACACAAGCTCAAGAGAAATTCCAAGTATACAGTCTACTCATATAGAATAACATTTATTTATTTTTTTATAAAGTATTGACATTAATAGACCAGAATGATAGGCAATGTGTCTTTAAAAGGATCAGTTGCAATTACTTAAATGCACAGTTCACCAAAATGCAAAAGGATCAAGTTAAAGCTAGGAATTAAATGTCCCTTTCCATAAGCCCCTTGAACTCCAAGTCACAGATTTAGCAGGTGAGCATGTATCACATTACTATTTCATGATGTCAGTACCGGGGCACAAATACTGGTGTATAAACACTACTTTAACACCAGCTTTCAATCAAGCTTACCAGGAAATGACAGACAGCATTAAACCAAACAATTCTATGAACAGTTTCAATGTGGTAAACACAGAAGCAACTCCTACTTCAGCACACAGCAGTGCACAGAATTAGAGACATCTCAGTGTCTGGCAGTTCATCTTTGGACTAGAATCCTTCACATAAAAAGGATTCTGTTTTAAAAATAAACTCTGCAGTGTATTATTAATGGCATTACACTACTGTCTTTCTGAATCCCATCTGCTGTCACCCACCACAGGCTTTCCATTCCGACTGCTGTCCCTGATCAATATTAGCACAGTCTATTAATTAGTACTCTGTATCTTTAAGAGATCAATAAAGTAAGAGCCCATTCTCTTGACCCACCAACCTTCTTCAGCTACTGCCAGTTGCTGTTGTTGTTGTTGTTGTTGTCCCTTTCCCCAGGAAAGCAACTGTGACCTCAGTGTCCTGATTTCCATTCTTTTATTTTACAGTCTAGCTTTCTTTCCACCTGTACACACATGTATGAAATCTATACAGTCGAGTGGTTTTAGGAAACTTACTATGAAATCAGTAGTTCTTTGTTCTCCAACCCCATTTCCCACTTTCATTCAGTGATACACTCCACTACTGTGAACATCTGTTGTTACTTTAGATTCTTCCATTCTCAGATAGAGTGCCTGGACAGTCGTAATTTACTCTGATTGTCCCAATGTATTTAAATTAGCCTTTTTGGCTCTCAAAAGTGTCTAGATTTTTAGGCATCTGTTAGTTAATTCTACTGAGAGAATTCACTAAATTAATTTAATTATTTTTAGAGAACAGGAGGATTTTTGCGACTTTAACTTATCTTTATGTGTATGGGTGTTTTGCCTGCTTGTATGTATGTGCACCACCCATGTGAAGTGCCCTCAGAGGCCAAAAGAGGACGTAAACTCCCTTGGGACTGTAGTTACAGGGGGTTGTAAAGCTGGGTATTGAACCTGGATCTTCTGGAAGAGCAGGCAATGGTTTTAATCACTTTCCTGGATAGTTTTAGTTTTTGTTTTTTGGTCACCTAGACAGGAACTACAGTTACCTAAGAAGAGGGAACCATAATTAAGAAAATGCCACTCTAAAACTAGCCTGTATGTAAGCCTATACATACAGGGGTATTTTCTTAATTAGTGATTGATGTAGGATGGTCCAGCCAATGCCACCCTTGGGGAGGTGATCCTAGGGTGTGTAAGGAAGCAGTCTGAGCAAGCCATGAGGAACAAGACAGTAAATAGTACTCCTCTATATGGCCTCTGCTTCAGTTCCTGCCTCCAGGTTCCTGCCTTGATTTCCTTCAGTGATGGAGTGACCTAATAGTTCTACACTGAAATAAATAAATCCTTTCCTCTCCAAGTCGCCTTTGGTCATGTTTTTAATCATAGCAATAGATACCCTAACAGAGACAATTGCTGAGCAAGCTTTCCAACTCTGAGGATTTTTTTCTTTTTGACATTATAAACATACACCCTCTCACAACTTCCCAATATTGTAATTCTAAGTTCATTCTTTTTGTTTGTTTGTTTGTTTGTTTGTTTGGTTGGTTGGTTGGTTTTTTTGGTTTTTCGAGACAGGGTTTCTCTGTGTAGCTTTGCGCCTTTCCTGGAACTCACTTGGTAGCCCAGGCTGGCCTTGAACTCACAGAGATCCG